ATTTCACCCCCTTTCTAATCCCAGCTAAATTTCAAAACCTATTGGGTGTGGGTGCAGAATATTAGGTCTAATTTGCTATTAGTTTAGATGTCTGTTGATTCCTTCCTTGACAAATTTGAGTGAATAAAATTGGTGTTTGCAAGATTTACTTTAGAATGGCATGTTGTGCAATAAGGTTTTAGTTGAAAACACAATAGCTATTGAATTAAGCTACTTACAGAGTGATCTATAAAATCTTTCTAGATGTCTTTCTCTAACTGCTGAGCAGCCAAGGCCTCGTTCCCTCTCCCACAACCCTCCTCCCCCCCCCGACAAGTTAATGGGTTAAAATGGCAGTACAAACTGCCTTCTAATACTAGGGTTTGAAAAGTGCACTTAACCACTTGCTCAGGGCATATAGAATAAAGCATCAGGCAAAGTAATTTACAATCCTGTTTTCCTTTGAGGATAATGCAAAGCAAGACTACATAATGGAAGTATTATTTCCTGTATTTTTGTCAATTCAAGGTCCCTATTTACGCTGTACTGGAAAAGGCAATGAAGGAGTAGAAGTGGCTTCATTTCTTGTTTGCTGTTTTTGAATGGTTTAGAATGTCTCAAACAATGGGTGCAGGATCATACACTTGCTATTACATGGATGAGGACTGAGAGACTTAAACAAGGAAAAAGAAATCTGAAAATATTATGTGATTCTAACCCCTAACGAATCCACTGACACGGAAACATTGAGTTCATCAGTTCCATATATACTTTTCATTAAAATGGCTTTCGCTTGGGGTTGATTCAAATAGTCTCTAATTGATATTGATCCTTGTTGCACGTTACTGTGTTTAATGTATACAGTATTTACATAGCAAGCTAACTGCCTTTGTCAAAAGAGGAACAAAAAGATGAAACATCTCATGAGACTATCTTTTGTTGTTCGAATGAATCTTCGTTCTGGTGCAATTTTTAATCTGAATTTCAAAAACTATTTTAAGTTGCTATAGTTCTTGCATTAACAGTTAGTTACATTGAGTGAAGTATTTTAATTTAACAGAAAAAGCATTGGAAGGAATAAAATAAATGCAGTGGCTTAAATATATCTCAGTGGTTACAAATTTTAGGGCCCTGTTTAACTTAGACGGTATTAAATTGAATTTTCTCAGATAATTGACAATATACTTGAAATGGTCTGCTGTGTGAGTGGCCTTTTTGCTTCATGAAAGAGAAACTATAAGCCAAAAAGACTTCTCTGATGCAGCTACCTAAACCAGCATAGTTGGTGGTCTCCTGTAAAATTCTATTTTTTTAACAAGTATGTAATGAAATATTTAAGAAAAATAAATCTAGCATAACTGAAATCTGAAGTTGCCCATATATTCTTATTTAGAGGTATCTATCTGTACTGCAGGCAACTTGAACTGTTCCCGTACTGGAAAATTTAATGTACCACTCAATTACTATTCTTTAGCCCAATTTAAAATAATAGATTGGGAGTAAGGTCTTAATGCAGTGTAACCTTTGGAACATTAGAAATAACCTCTTTCCCTTCTGAGATTGGTGTACAGTAATGGCATCAGTCTTATCACATTACATGAATATATTTTCTAACTGTATTTAAAACTTTTTCACTTGACAGTTGTTCAATATGTCTCTCCTTACTCTTGCCCATTAGACTACAATACAGTTGGGAAATACTGTCAGTGTTGCAAGAAAATATGCCATATATTAGGGCTTTATGGTTCCTTCATTATATTGTTTTGGAGTTACATTAAGCCTAGCTTGCATATCTTTTCAATGTTTGGACTTTTCATTTATGCTTTTTTTTGGGGTAGAACTTATTACTCTGTTTTGCCACAATCTATTTGGATCCTCCTCATTAGTGGGAATCCTTTGTTTTCCCATAATACACTTAGTTCTGTTTTTATTGATGTGAATAGTTGCAACTATATGAAGTATAGAATAAAATACCTTGGCCTGTGTCTATATTTTTTTAACATTGTTCCCTAGATCTCCATGAGTTTGTTTGCATTCTGAGTTTTGAGCATGCTAACAGGTGAAAATGAATATCTACTACGGTTCTGGTTTTGATACTTAAACAACTCACTTCATTAAGAGAGGTAGCCGTGTTAGTCTGTATCAGCAAAAAGAACGAGGAGTATTTGTGGCACCTTAGAGACTAACAAATGTATTTGAGCATAAGCTTTCATGGGCTAAAACCCACTTCATCGGATGCATGCAGTGGAAAATACAGTAGGAAGGTTGTGTGTGTGTGTGTATATATATATATGTATATGTATATAATATACACACACACACAGGGGACATGGGAAAAATGGGTGTTGCCATACTAACTATAACGAGAGTAATCAGTTAAGGTGGGCTATTATCAACAGGAGAAAAAAAAACTTCAAATAAATTTGTTAGTCTCTAAGGTGCCACAAGTAATTCTCGTTCTTTTCATTAAGAGAGGGGAATTTTGGTTTATCCTGTTGTTGGGGTCTCAAACTTGCTATTTTGAAGGATCTTTTATTTTTTCCTGAGCATTCTTGCTTCAGAACTAAACTCCTTTCTCCTGTCATTTTACTCTCAGAAATGTGCTGGGCTTGATTTCTTCCACCCTTCCTTTATACCCGCACTACCCTATCCTGCCTTCCATTCACCTTAATTTGGGGGTCGTGATTAAATATGTTGTATAATTCTTGGTATAGTATTCTGATACTACAGGAAGATACATTCCTTGTTTCAAAGGCATTGTCATGTGCATTCTTTGACTGAATACAATTAAAGTGGGGCAGAGGGGGCATTGGTATAAATTTAGTTAATGCCATATTATAGTTGAGATTTTAAATGCATAAAAGATAGAAAACTTAACGTTCTGGTTCCTGCTGTAATTATGCCACATTGCACATACATATATTAGCTCTTTTGCCCTATTGCCATACACTGGAAAAGAAAACACAACATATCCAGAAGGAGGTGGTGGTTGCTGCTTTGATATTCAGAACTTTGACTTTCCAAAGTTTGGTCCCAATCCTGTGTTCCTTACTCAAGGCAAAACTTCAGCTAATTTAAATGGGAGTTTACCGAAGGTATGCACAAGTTGGGAAAGTGGGGAGCAGAGGAGGTGAGAAATGAGGCAGTAACACAGATTTGTTTTTTATTTTGCATGTAATATTTAGTCTCAACTCCACTTCAGCTACGTTTTTGGTGCTTAAGGTTGAAAATATCTGTACATTACTGCAGTGAAAAACACTTTACAAAGTCACAGTAATTTCTTAAGCAGAAGTGTTTATAAAGCAATTGCCATGCAGCAAATCTGTTTTTTTTTTTTTTTTTTTTACTGTTTTAAAACATTGCTTAGTGACAAGAGTCCATACAGAGTTTTCAGGCTGTACAGGGATGCTGTTACTTTCAAGATGTTCAAAGATGGACTTTGCTTTTACCCACAAAAAAATTCTATTTCCTCCATATAGCTTCCTTGCACTTGCTTTCCATGTTGTACTAGGCACACAACAGACACCTCCACCCCTTACCTTTCTCCCATGTTGTGCGAGGAGAGCTATGTCTTGGGGAGGCATGTGGTGCAGGTTTTGAAATTGACCGTAGGACGCTACAGGGCACCCCCTCCTTGAATGTGGCTCTCTCCGTCTAACTCCTAACCACTCCCAATTGCACCCCATTTGGCATATTCCTGCTTTCCCTTTATGAAGTCATCATTGAATCCATATTATACACTAGACCTTCCTTTAATAACCAGCATTTTGAATTGTTTTACCAACAAACCAACCAAATGTGGTCAGATATACCAGGCTTTATGAAAACCAACATACTAAGAACAGTTTGGAGTTTCTGACCATGGTATCTTGTAGCTATGGACATCAAAAATGTTAGAAAAACATTCAGGAGGTGAGATCATTTCATTTTTGAGCCCTCATCTCTCCCAAATTCCATATCCAATTTGCCTCAGACTTTTGAGAAAAATTGTACCCTATTTAAGATAATTTTTAATGAAAATTCAGGCAGATTGTCATTTTAGTGAAGTGAGAGGAGTTTAAAAAAGCGTTATAAAGGAAGGCTAGCAACAACCTGAGCTATGTCTCTTGCATCTTCAAAACCAGTAACCTGGAGTTGAGGGAGTTTATTGTTAAAAAACAAAACAAAAACAAAAAACCCCACCAAACAAACATTGTTTTGTTGCTTGAAAATAAACACGGGGGGGAGGGATAGCTCAGTGGTTTGAGCATTGGCCTGCTAAACCCAGGGTTGTGAGCTCAGTCCTTGAGGGGGCCATTTAGGGGTTTGGGGCAAAAATCTGTCAGGGACGGTACTTGGTCCTGCTGTGTAGGCAGGGGACTGGACTCGACTCAATGACCTTTCAAGGTCCCTTCCAGCTCTATGAGATAGGTATATCTCCATAGAATGATGATGGATAAAATGCATAACGCCATACCATTGAAGGTCATGTTGGAAAGAGACAGTGTGGTGGATAGAACACACCTGGGTCCTGTTCTCCACTCTTCCACTTACTTGCACTATAAAAAAAGGCAAGTCACGTCATCCCTGTGCCTCTGTTTCCAATAGTGCCCTTCATTCGACTTGTCTGTTTAGCTTGTTAGCTCTTTGAAGCAGGCTCTGTCTTACTACACCTCTACCCCGATATAACGCTGTCGTCGGGAGTCAAAAAATCTTACCGCGTTATAGGTGAAACCACGTTATATCGAACTTGCTTTGATCCGGCGAGTGTGCAGTCCCGACCCCCCCGGAGCACTGCTTTACCGCATTATATCCAAATTCATGTTATATCGGGTCGCGTTATATCTGAGTAGAGGTGTTTTTGCATATATAATGTCTAGCATAATGGGGCTTGATCTTTGTTGGGGCTTCTAGGTATTACCACAGTACCAGTAGTAAATATTTGATTACTTGAATATTTATATGTATGCATGTTCAGTAGCAAATTAAAGTGACAAATGAGTATATTTGTGAAATGTGTATTTAACTCTTTCATCATTTAGGTTCCTGTGGCTAGAGCCAGCATTCTCTGGCTTATTGGGGAATATTGTGAACGAGTTCCAAAGATTGCACCTGATGTTTTGAGAAAGATGGCTAAGAGCTTCACTAATGAAGATGACCTTGTGAAGCTGCAGATCTTAAATTTGGGAGCAAAACTGTATTTAACCAACTCAAAACAGGTAAGAGTAAGACTATATAAACAAGCGATCCTTTCCTGCCACAGTAGAGTATATTTTGTGCATTCTGCATGGATTAGCACTCACTTCTTACATATAGATCTAAAACAAAGAAGCTTTACATGTGGAAATTTACTACCGCATCACTGACTGGACCCAAAACTAGTAGCACACAGAACAGGAGGTCCATGTGCTTGTTGCCTTAGCACTAGGGTTGAGTGAAATTTAGCAATTCCATTTGTAGGGAATTTGACAAACCCTCCTTGATTTTCAGTTGTTTGGGTTAGTGCTTTTTGAATGTAAAACTCCAAAGCAAAATGCTTTGTTAATTTTCACATGCTTTTGTGACCATGTGACCATCAGAGGTGCAGTTACCTCAAAACTGTCACAATAACCACTTCCCTTTTCTTACCATGACATTTCAT